CGTCATCGTTGTCGTCATCATCGCCGTTGTCGTCCTCCTCCTCCTCCTCCTCCTCCTCCTCCTCCTCCCTCTCCTCCTCCTCCGCCTCCTCCCCCCCCCATCCCATCTGGGGGGAGGGGGAGCTCGAGGACCCTGGGACCCGTCCCATCTGGGGGGGGGCCTGTGGGCCAGGAGCCCGCGATCATACATGCCCCACTCTTACGTCCCCCCGATGAGTGGGCATCGCTCGGACGGGTGCATTGTTTGTTGTTGTTGTTGTTGTTCGAAATCCCTGGTCGCCGGTTGCCACTTATACTGCAACCCGTGCCATTTCAGGTCCACTCTTCACGGCAGAGGATCGGTGTGCATGTCTTCTTGGCCAAACCGGGCGGGCGTACACAACGATCCTGGGCCCAGGATGGGCCTGACCAGTATCGTTGTACGTAAGTGTATCCGGTGATTATGGTCGGTACGCCCCTACCTTTGGCAAGTTCGTGGAGCGTGGAGCAGAATCAGCAGCAGCCGAAGCATTGGTACGGCGTGAAGCATCTGGGCATCGCTCGGGCGGGTGCATGTGTTCTCGGTGAGGACCCTCGCGGAGCATCCTGGGCCATCCTGCGAGACATACGCGCGCGAAGCCGACGAACTTGCACGGGAAAGGGACGCCCGAGCCATGGCGAGCTCCCTCCCCCATGCGGAGGCGGCGATCGGGCCGAAGAGCCCATGGGGGGAGCAAAACCTGTGCCCAGGGGCGCCGACGGTCCATTCGACTACACGTAGGAGTGACCTGTCGCCGGAGTGTGGCCTTTGCTGCGAGCTCAGCGGGCTCCCCCCGATTGCCGAGCGCCATGCGGTATAAGTGGCCCATGCCCCTGGGTTTGGCTCCCTCGCGCCCCCAAGAGCTGCGCACCAAAGGCCACTCATACCCAGGGTCACTCTTACGCCTAGCCGATCCATGCCTTCGGCGAGGCTCCCGGGCGAAGGCGTGCAACGCCCTCCCGAGGCCAGTCCGCCCCCACCGACCGCCCCGACCCATGGGCACGGGGGTAACGTTGGAGGGGTCGGGGGCGGCAAAGAGGGGGGTGGTTACTAGGGGGGGTGGATATCCTGGCGGGGGCCATGGTATTTCCCCGGACTTCATGGCGCCTCTTCTTACTTCATTACGTCTCTGGTCCCCCCGCTGGGCCGCGCACATGCCGCCGCTCATGATTTGCACCCCCCCTCTTCGGACCCTCCCGAGAGGGGGGGCGGACGGGGCTTGGGCGAGGATGAGCCCGTTCCGGAGCGTCCCGGAACGCTCCCAGAGCGTTCCAGCAGGCTCTGAGAAGGCCGCGGCGCCCGAGACAGCCTCCAGAAGAGCCCGATCGCAGAGAGTTTCGCTTCGTCGCCCCCCGATGCTAGCCTCGTCCTTGCTTCGGCTTAGGCCGGCTCAGTGGGGGGGGCGTGTCTCCAAGCCGGAGCCCTGGGTCTGGAGCAGACGGGTCGGCCGTGAGAGTCGCAGTCGCCCAGTTCTGTCGTGCTGATGGGCGCAATGGGATGCGAACATGGCCCGGGTCAGCGCGAATTATGCGGGGCAACACTCGTCCTCGTCCTCTCCCGTTTACCCGAGCCCGGGGCTACTGCAAGTTTTTGCCCTCTTCATTGCACTGCTGTCGGCTTGCGTCCGGGAGGATAGCCCTCTAGAGGGGCAGCGGATTTCAAGAGTGGCGGAGCGATCGACTCGAACCTTCAAGCGATTTCGTTGCGGGGGAAAACAAAAAAATAAAAACAGAAAAGCACAATTATCCAGCGTCACCCCAACAGGCTTCTGCTGCATGTGCGTCGCCCCCCCCGCCCCCCCTGCAGCGGCGACGCGCGCACCGAGAACTCTCATAGTATACGCGTCGTGGCGGGCGCCTTCTGGCGATGCCGCTCGGGAAGTGGGATGCTACCATATGGGTACCGTATATACATGTCCCGGGTCGGCCGCGCGCCTCCGAGGAGGACATATATATGGTCTTGGTATGGCCCTCCCTGTGCGTCCCAAATGACGTCCGTGCGCATCTGCTGTATCCAGCGAGGTCACCGCTCTCTTCCCCCCTCCCCATCCCACGGGGGGATCGGGGGTGGACAGAACCCCCAACAGTGACACGTCGATTAGTGAATTGTCCGTTTTCGGTTCTCGGGAGGGCGCCGTGGCCGTTATTTTCCAGGCTCGCGCCCGCCAGGTTTGAGACTCAGGTCGTTTTCACTAAACCACGTTGTGCTAAAGTGGGGTCTGTCCATCCCGCGGGGGGAATCGGCGCAGGGCGCAGGGGGGTGGCCTGGGCTCGGGGCTCGAGCTTTTCTGCCGTACACTGTGGCCTTTGACCACCAGACCCAAAAATACCGAAACTCTAAGGTTTTTACTCTCGTCCGACACTGTTTCGACTCGTCCGACACTGTTTCGACACTGTTTCGGCACTTTTCTGGGTGCTCGCAATTATTTAATCGCTTCGCTCATTCCGCCGGCCCTGGAGCGCTATTTGTGATATGGTCCTTGCGATGGGAGCAGCAGAAGCCTCGGGGTGCCTTCCAGCGGATGCGCCTCGCCGAGGGCGTTCCGGGAGCGTCCAGAAACCGGATGTATGATCCGACAATGGTCGGGGGCGGCAAAGAGGGGGGTGATGACCAGGGGGGGTGGATATCATGGCGGGGGCCATGATATTTCCCCAGATTTCATGTCGCCTCTTCTTACTTCATTACGTCCCTGGCCCCCCCGCTGGGCCGCGCACATGCCGCCGGTCATGATTTGCACCCCCCCTCTTGGACACCCCCCTTTTGGCCGCTCCCGAAATGGGACGGCGAGTTTCACGGAGGTCGTGTAGAAGTTTTCAGACGAGGGCGAGTAGAGACAGAGGTAATTGGCCTTCGGGGGTGGCCCTCGTCGCCGCGGTTTGCCTCAGATCGGACATTTTGCTGCGTTTGCATCCTGTGCGGGGCTGGGGACAGATCGAGAAGGCCCTGCGGCCAATGCCACCGACCCTGAAGACGACGACGAGGGACGAGGAGGACGACGGAGACGAGGAATAAGATCAGGAAGACTAGGAGGACGCGGAGGACGGTGTGGAGCAGCAGGATGAGGAGGCGGCGAGGGGGGAGGATGCGGAGGAGGACGAGGAGGGGAGACGGGGGCACGGGGCGAGGGGGGGGGGCATGAACAGCAGGAGGTCGAGGCGAAGGGGAGCTGGAGAAACAGGACAAGGAGACGGACGGGGAGCAGGGTGCCGAGGAGGGGGCGGGCGGGTGTTCGCGTTGCAAGCCAGCGTGCGGAGGAGGGGGAGCAGGGGAAGGCGGGGGCGCCAGGGACTTGGCATCGCTCGGACGTGTGCATTTTTTCTCAGCGAGAACTATCGAGGACCATCCTGGTCCATCGAGCAAAAACAACACACACGAAACCGAACAATGCACGGGAAATGGACGTCCGAGCGACGGCAGGATGTCGTTTTCCGGGGGCGGCCTTCGAGGAATCCCGAGATCGGGGGTGCCCAAGCGGAGTGGTGGCCACATCGTGCGATGGGTCGGTGGGACTTCGGGGTCACCGCAGGGTTTTGGGACTCGGGGCGCTCTCCGAGGACGCTTGGGACGACTGGGGCATCCGAGGTCCCAAAACCGTGCGTTGACGGACCGAGCGGTGAGGTCTGGGGGGATTTCGAGGTCACCGCACGGTCTGTCACCGCACCGTTTCGAGACTCCAAACAAGACGGGTGAAAAGGCGACGTCATTGAAAAACGTACGTTTTGCAAGTCTGTTCGGAGCGGTCTCGGGGGCCATGCTGAGAGCGTCTTCAGGCGTCTCGGGCCGTGTTCGGGGCCTCGCTGGCCTGTTTCGGGATTCTCTCGAAGGCCTCTTGAGGCGATCGTTGGAGCCTCTTTGGCCGTTTTGGAGCGTCAGGACGTTGAAAGGGTGAATGTTGCCTCTTGGAGCTCTCTCAAGGAGCGCTCTTCGGGGCCTCTTGGGGTGTCTTACAACTCTCTGGGGGCCATTTGGAGGCCGTAAGGACGTCTCGGAACCATCGTTCGGCGATTCGGGGTCCTCTTGGACCGACTGCCTTGGGCGCCTCTTGGGGCCCTCCTTGGCTCGTTTCTTGACGGTCTCCTGGGCCCGGGGCCTCCCCAAGGGGGGAGTGGCCATTCTCACCCGGGCCCCCCCCCCGCCGGGCCCCCCTCCCGGGACCCCCCCCCCCGGAACCCCTGCCGGGGAGAGCGGGGGAATCTCGAGCGGCGGTCTGGCAGCCCCATGCTCTAGTCTTCGCACTCGCCTCGGCGCCCCGCCCTCTCCCCAGGACCACCCCCCGGGACCAGCCCCCGGGACCCCCCCCGCCTGGCGGGGAAGGGGTCGAGGGGAAGGGGCTTCCCTTCGACTTCAATGGCGACGCTGCTCGAAAGGTCGCCGTGGCTGGCGGGCCTGAGGAGGAGGGCCCAGGGAAAGGAGAGGGCGGCGACGGGCCCAGGGAGAGAGGAGGAGGGCCCAGGGAAGGAAGAGGGCGGCGACGGCTATCGACGTCGTCGTCTTCGTCGACGTCGACGTCGTTTGACTCGTCTTCGTCGACGTCGTCGTCGTCGCCGGTGAAGACGAGTCAAACGGAACCGCCTCTTCCACGCAGACAGGGTCGGTGGATTTTGAGTGGGTTGGCGTCAAAACGTCTGTTCAGGGGCAGCGTTTGCGAAATATCGGCAGACACGTAATTTGTCAAAGTTCCTTGCGGCTTTATTGGGCTTGCTCTGGCTCCCCTGGCGGCGCCTCCGGCTGTGGTCCAGTGCCGATCCAGGAATCCGCGCGGAGTTCCGAATGTTTATGTTTACACAACTTGTCCTCTGAATCACACTTACGGGAGCATGCTTAGTGGGGGACGTTTTGGGCTTTCGAAGATCGAGGTTCCCCGAAGTTTTGTCTGACATTGCCGACTTTCCAGCCTCAGGATGCCTTCAGCGGCTGCGCCTCGCCGCGGGCGTTCTGGGGGTGCCCAGATCGTTTCCGAATGGCCGCGGGATAACCGAGTTATGACACGAAAGCGAGGGGGCATCGTCACGGAGGGGATGGGCTCATGGGGGATGCGTTGACCCCGATCGCCCACTCATCGCCGATAGGGGCCCGATGATTTGCCCCGCCGAGGACCGCGTGGACTCACTATCGGCGGCCTATCACCGATTCGTCGGCGATACGTCGCCGATCTGGCCCGATTGTTCCCCGCTGAGCGGGTCTCACCCTAACGTTCCCTCTCATTTCCGTTGGCGCGATCGGAATTGATCAGGAGAGAAGGGGGACGACGACCGACAGCAGTCTCTGCTCATCTTGAACCAGGCTTACCGTCGGCGTCACCGCGGACGTTGTCCATTGGAGATAATTGGTCGCATGCACAACAGCGGCCCTGTAGGTTTTGGGCAACATCTGCTGTTGGGCATCGTTCCCACTGTCTCCTTACCCAACTCGCACTTGCCGCTCCCCCTTCCCCAGGCACCCTCTCGGCTTGGAGAGAGCACAGCGGGAGGTTTTGGCAGCTCTCAGTTTCTAGGGGCTGGCTCGAGATGAGAAGCCTCGCAGGCCTAGAGGTTGACACCAACACCAATATCGGCGTTGTGCCTCCACCGATGGAAGCGGATCCCGATCTCGGTGATGGTGGTGATATTCTGGCTTCCAAGGTGGCCGATCTATTACCACGAACCACCGAGATCTAGGGTCATCTTCCCCCCGTGCAGGCAACCCCCTGTGCTAATGTTGTTGCCCATTTCCAAGCCTCCAAAAGCCCGCTCCTGGGAATATCTGGTGGTCGACGTTGTCACAAGAGCGCACGACGTCGGGGTTTTGGATGCTTCTTCCTTCGCTCTCCTCCGCCTTCGCCGCACAAGCGCGATGACAACGACAGGTGTGAAGCAAACACCCGTGGGGTACCAAACAGGTGTGATACTATCCAAAGGTGTGATCACGGACTGGACAAGTGTGATGATAAGCAAGCGCAGTACACCACAGATGCGATGAAACACCTGCTCTCCTCCGTCCTCCCCGGCCGCCCCTCCTCCCCGGGACCTCCCCTCTCCCTTTCTCCCTGCGGCCTGCGGCCCGCCCTCGGCCGCGCGCAGAGGGGGGAGCGGGGGGAGGGGGGGAGGCTTCTCTTGGAAGCACCCCTGCTTCTTAGCAGGCGCGGGCTTGATCTGGAGTTCCGTCGGGCCTGTCCCCTCTACAGGAGGAGCCTTCAAAGATGTGTTCAAAAATGGCACGGGGGCGATCTTTGGATTTGCTTTGACTGTTTGGGGGTACTTTTTGTGGTATTTTTCATTTTGCCGCCCAAGATCTGCCTGTGGGGGGGACTCGCCCGACCTACATCTATAGATGTAAGGCCGGCGCCTTCTAAGATGCAGTCTCCTTCTAAGAAGCCCCCTCCCTCCCTCCCTCCACCCACCTGTGCGCGCCGCCAGCGCTCTGCGCGCAACAGTGAGATCGATGGAGCGCCCCCCCAGCCCGCGGTCACGCCTGTGTCTTGCGCAGAGGACGACAGTCTCAGGATCAGCTGCTGTGCGAATGGATTTGCGGCAGGTGCCGCGCTTCCACGTAGGGGCCACAGGGGGTAGCACTGCTCAGTCACCCACAGCTGCCCAGCGCCATGACCTCAGCCGCGATATGGATGCAAGGTGGCTTCTCGCGGATGCCCCGCGCGGAGGGTGCATCCATGAATGTTCGTTTCCACGGGATCGTGCCTCGGTGTCCGGACCGCGAGGGCATGGCCACGGACAGTTTCGTCGTTCGCCGAAATCCTGGGTCTCAAGTCGGGCAGATCCCTCCCTGAAGGGGGACATGCCCGGCCTAACCCTGGTCGCAGGTCGCCATTTGTGCAGCACCCCGGTCCTTGCAAGTCCACTCCTCACGGCAGAGGATCGGTGTGCATACCTCCCTGGCCCAAACCGTGCGGGCGTACGCAGCGATCCTGGGCCCAGAATGGGCCTGGCCAGCATCGTTGTAGGTAGGTGTGTGGGGTATGGTCGGTACGCCCCGACCCCCGGCAAGTTCGAGGAGCGTGGAGCCGAATCAGCAGCAGTACAGAAGCATCGATAAGGCACGGAGCACCTTGGCATCGCTCGGTCGTGTGCATTTTTCCCCGGCGAGCTCCCTCGAGGAGCATGCTGGGGCCACCCTGCGAACGCTGCACAGCACGAAACCGAACCAGTGCCTTGGGGGAGGGACGCCCGAGCGAAAGGCGAGGCACTCTGGCAGCCGGAGGGAGGCGGGGAGGCGAGAGGCAGGTGCCGTAAAACAGGGCTAGGATCGGGATAAGTCGCTCCAGAGCGTTCCGGAGCGCTCTCAGAGCGTTCTGGAACGCTCTGGAGCGGCCGCGGCACCCAATACATCCTCCAAACCCGCCGATTCTCAGAGATTTCGAGTTATCCCGATCTGATTTTGTCCAGATCTTCGCGTCGTTTTATGCCGGCAGACGGAGAGGCGGGAGGGTTCAGAGGGCGCGCCTCGCAGGCGTACGGCGCCTCCACCATCTGCGTGCTGGCCATGGAGGAGTGCGGGGTCTGCGCCGCCTCTCCGGAGAGGGGGCGGAGGCTCGGAGATCGGCCGGAGGCAGGAGCGAGGCGTTGCGGTGCAGGGGGGGGAGCGTGCCGTCAGCGCGCCACCGACCACGCAGGACGCCGAACACTGTTACATTCAGAGCGTGAATAACCTCCCCCGCTTTCGCTTCCAGACAAAACCAAGCCATACCACGCGCCTCCTTGTCAGGCGGCCTGACCAGTACAGGCCGTAGTTTGGCATCGCTTGGTATCTCTTGGAAGCGAGGGTGGTCAAAAGCGAGGTAGGTTTGTTTTCCTCCTATACATTCCAGTTGGGTTGAGTTGTAGTCAGGTGCGGTACATGTGTTGTTGTTTCGCGTTGCCACTGTTTGCGTTGCGGCTGTCTGCTTCAGCTTGAAGCCAGGATTTATCGTGTGAGGCAGGAGTGGTTTGGGAGTGCGCATTGGCTGTGGGGTGTCTGAGCCCAGCCATCATGACGCGAGGTGCATTGACGTGTTGGCACTGCGGTCCCCGTAATTTTAGGTCGAGCTGGAATTTCTGTCGCGCGGCAGTTGTCATCTCCTTGTTGTCGTTCTCCAGTTCCTCGTTTATGCTTGAGCTTAGGTGTCATTGCTAACGGATTGTGTTGTCGCGTATTTTACACTTCAGCCATCCGTTGCATTGCACAGTGTTTGCGTTGCTCGTGTCTGCTTGATCTTGAGTGTTTGATTCCGCGTGTGTGTGTGTGTGTGTGTGTGTGTGTCTGGAGTGGTTCCGGGAGGGTCAGGGTGGGCGTGGCGTGAAATCGCCAAAGAGCATGTCGTCACGCACTATGTTTGTGATCTGCATCTGTTCCCATCCATCCTGTATTGCGCCCTCGCTTTGAAGAGGCAGCGCCCCCTCGTCCCACCTGCTCCTCCGGCCGCCCCCCCCTCTCCGAGGCGGGAACTTATACTTGACCACCGCCTTGAGAATCAATTTCGGGGATCTCGACAGGCGGTGGACATGGACAGATTCGGGCCCCCTTGGGCCAAAGTGTATCCCTATCCACCACCCGCTGGGGCACTAGGACGTCGGTTCCCAGGCGGTGGGTATGGATAAATCCCCGCCTCGCATCCTCACTCATTCCATCGTTGCCTCTGCCCCCCGCACGGCCATTTCGGCAGACCCCTCACACGCATCGTGGCTTCGTAGGGAGCTTCATCTGCGGCCCTCTGGTCGTCCTCTTATGTGTGTTTCCCCGCCCATTCGACAAGCCCCTCGCATGGCTTCCTGGCCCCTCAGGGAACTCCTCTTCCGGCCCCAGCAGCCATCCTCGTTTGTGGCTCCCCGCCTATTCCGACACACCTTTAACGCGTTTCGTGACCTCCACCGAAGGCCCCAGGGGCCGTCCTCGTATGTGGGTCCCCGCCCATTCCGACACACCCCTCACACGTGTTGTGGCCCTACAGTTAGCTCCGCCTCAGGCCTCAGTGACCGTCCTCGCATGCGGGTCCCCGCCCATTCTTGCATACCCCTCACACGCTTTGTGACCCCACAAGGAGCTCCACCTGAAGCCTCCTGTGGCCGTCCTTGCATGCCGTTCCCCGCCTGTTTTGGTACACCACCTCGCACGTTTTGTGGCCCTTCAGGGAGCTCCACTGAAAGGCCCCCGTGGCCGTTCTCGCATGCAGTTCCCCGAACATTCCACCCCTCACACATTTTGTGGCCCCATGGGGAGCTCCACCTGAGGCCCTAGTGGCCGTCCTCGCATGCGGTTCCCCTGCACCTCACGCTTCGTGGCTCCGTATTGGGGCTCCTTTAGCGGCCGTCCTTGCGTGAGGTTCCCCACCCCTTCGGGTGCACAACTCGTGAGGGAGGAGGAGGAGGAGGAGGAGGAGGAGGAGGAGGAGGAGGAGGAGGAGGAGGAGGAGGAGGAGGAGGAGGAGAGGGAGGAGGAGGAGGAGGAGGAGGAGGAGGAGGAGAGGAGGAGGAGGAGGAGGAGGAGGAGGAGGAGGAGGAGGAGGAGGAGAGGAGGAGGAGGAGGAGGAGGAGGAGGAGGAGGAGAGGAGGGGAGGAGAGGAGGAGGAGGAGGAGGAGGAGGAGGAGGAGGAGGAGGAGGAGGAGGAGGAGGAGGAGGAGGAGGGAGGAGGAGGAGGAGGAGGAGAGAGGAGGGAGGAGGAGGAGGAGGAGGAGGAGGAGGGAGGAGGAGGAGGAGGAGGAGGAGGAGGGAGGGAGGAGGGAGGAGGAGGAGGAGGGAGGAGCGGAGGAGGTGGAGGAGGAGGAAGAGGTGGAACATGATGAGGAGGACGTGGAGGAGGAGGAGGCGGAGGAGGAAGAGAGGCGGAAGAGGAAGAGGAAGAGGAGGAGGAGGGGGGAGGAGGAGAAGGGGGGGAGGAGGAGGAGGAGGAGGAGGAAGGAGGACAAGTAGGGGACAATGAGGGGAGGGGGAAGAGTGGGAGGGGGGAGGAAGAGGAGTGGGGAGAGAGCAGGACGAGGAAGAGGTGTCGTCTGGGCGATCCTGGGGCCTCTTGGGCCGTCTGGAGCCCCTCCAGGAGCGGTTTGGAGGCCTTTTGCGGCTGTTTTGGGACCGTCTTGGGCCGTCTGGAGCCCCTCTGGGGGCCCTCTTGGAGCGTTTTGGGGCTGTTTTGGGCCCCCCTTGGGCAATGCTGGGCTCCACTTGGGGGCGTCTTGGGCGCGCATGGGGTCATATTGGAGCGATCTGTGGGGTGTTTTCGGACGTTTCGGGGGCTGTGGAGGCCGAGAAGCAGAGCATGATGAAACGTTGCCGAAAACGACAGAAAACTTACATTTTTTTCCGGAAAGGACTTAGGCCCAGGGTTCTCTTTTAGAGGTTTACCCTCGGACCTGATGTGAGGTGGGTCGGCGGAATTATTCCCTGATAAACATCGATGTCGAGGTGGGCCAGTGGAAACGCTTGATTTTCAGAATTTGTTGAGGATGTCTCGAGCGAAACGCTTGTTTTGCATTATAGCTTGTCCTCTCCTTGGGACCTGAATTCAGAGGATCTCTCAAGTGAAATGCTTGTTTTCACGTGCCCAGGTCTTGAGGATGTCTCGAGCGAGACGCTTGGTTTCACGCCTCCAGGTTGCCCAGACAGATGTCTAGCATGAGGATTTGTTGAGGATGTCTCAAACCAGAGGCTTGTTTTCACGTGTCCAGGTCGCCCAGGCGGATGTCTAGCATGAGGATGTGTCGAGGAAGTCTCCATCGAGACGCTTGTTTGCACGTGTCCAGGTTGCCCAGGCGGACGTCTAGCATGAGGATGTGCTGAGAACGGCTTGAGCGAAACGCGTGTTTTCACGTGTCCAGGTCGCCCAGGCACAGCACAGCCCTCGGCACGGTACATCAATATCGAAACCCTTAGCACTGCAGCCTGGCATGCTGCCTGGCACGTTCCGCGGAGCGTCCCGTGGCGAGTCCCCCTGGCACGTCGCGCGGTGCACGTCCATTGGCACGTTCCGTAGCGCGTCCCTTCGGCACGTCCCGCGGTGCGTGTGGCACGTCCCCTGGCACGTCGCCTGGCGCGTCCCTTGGGACGTTCCGCGGCGCGTCCTCCTGGCATGTCCCCCTGTCCATTAGATCAGGGCAAGCTACTATGTGCTGAGGCAGCTCGAGCTGAAGATCCAGATCAGTTCGGTCAGGACTCGGATGCAAAGGAGGACTCGATCCACAACGCTATAGAGCACAATCGCGGCATGGCAGATCGCAGTTCAGCACAGCGCAGCACAGCACAGCCCTCGGCACGGTACATCAAAATCGACACATTCAGCATTGCAACCTGGCACGTTCCGTGGCGCGTCCCGTGGCGAGTCCCCCTGGCACGTCGCGCGGCGCGTCTCCTGGCACGTCGCGCGGTGCACGTCCATTGGCACGTTCCGTAGCGCGTCCCTTCGGCACGTCCCGCGGTGCGTCCCCGTGGCACGTCCCCTGGCACGTCGCCTGGCGCGTCCCTTGGGACGTTCCGCGGCGCGTCCTCCTGGCATGTCCCCCTGTCCATTAGATCAGGGCCAGCTACTGTGTGCTGAGGCAGCTCGAGCTGAAGATCCAGATCAGTTCGGTCAGGACTCGGATGCAAAGGAGGACTCGATCCACAAAGCTATAGAGCACAATCGCGACATGGCACATCGCAGTTCAGCACAGCGCAGCACAGCACAGTCCTCGGCACGGTACATCAAAATCGACACATTCAGCATTGCATCTGCCCGTCGCCCAATCAGGTGTCTCTGAAACGTTGCCATGCCTTACATTTCTATATTCCTTTCCGGGTTCGTGGGGGGATCATGTTTGGGGGGGGAACGTGGGAGCTTTGTTGAAGCCTACTTGGACCGTCTTGGGATGCCGTCGGGTAGTATACAGGTCATTTGAGGCCAATTTTGGCCGTCTTTGGGAGCTCTTCGGGCCCTCGTGAGGCCTCCTCGGGCTTTCCTCCTCTGCCGCTCCAAGCGCCGGAGGGGGAAATTTATGTACGGGGTGGGGGTGCTGGTGGGCGTGGGATATAAGAACATCCGAAAAGGGATTTTTTTCTTACAACCTGGGGGATGGTAAAATCGCGTCCAGGGGGCCACTGGGGCAACGTGACCCGCTGATCCGTTGCCCAAGTGGCTCGCTAGACGCCCCTGAAAGCCCCTGGGTCTTTCTGGAGCTTATGGGAGCCCCTGCTGGGCTAGGCAACGGGCCCAAATCGGTCGCGAGGGCGTCCGAACCGCGCCGCGATGGCCCCAAGAGGCCCCAGACACTCACCAGACGCCCGAAGACGACCCAAAGAAGACACTCAAGATGTTGTTGAAACAGGAAACAACACGGACTTCCCATTGTTTTCGTATGATTTGGGGAATGCTCTGCTCTCCAGTCTTCGGGGCGTCCGAGACCGGTCAGCAGGCCCGAACATCGCCCCACAATTATCCGAAAGGGCTTCCAGGCAGTCCAAGAGAGCCCCAAGGCGGCCCAACAGGGTCCCGAGATGGCCCGAAGAGAGCCCTAGGACGCCCAAGATGGCTCCAATTTGCCCCT